AGAGAGAGAGAGAGAGAGAGAGAGAGAAACATCGATGTGAAAGAGATACATCAGCCCTAGCTGGTTTGGCTCAGTGGATAGAGCATCAGACTGTGGACTACAGGATCCCGGGTTCGATTCCGGCCAAGGGCACATGCCCAGGTTGCAGGCTCGATCCTCAGTAGGGGGTGTGCAGGAGGCAGCTAGTTAGTGATTCTCTGTCATCATTTGATGTTTCTATCTCTCTCTCCCTCTCCTTTCCTTGTTTGGAATTCAAATAAAAATATATTTAAAAAAGAAAGAAAGAAAGAAGGGTTCCTTCAGCCTTGTTGCTTCTTTCGCAACATTTCCCCATCCGGGCCGGGGGATTTGAACCTGCCAACTAAAGGTTTTGTGCCCTTGGACCGGGGAATCAAAACCCCACGGACCCTTTCGATCCAACAGGCCTGACGCCTCTAAACCCACTGGAACACCCCGGGCCAGGGCAAAGAAATCTTCCCTTTTCGGCCTCAACAACATTGGACAAACAGGTGGGTGTCCCGGCATTCGTATTCATCTCGCCGCAATACTGACATGTTTACGCTTCCTGTAGTTCTTCACACTTCATGACAAGCAATTTATTATACACAAAAGAATTTCAAAGGTGCACCTCTGGCAGAATAAACATCCTCATCCATTTTTTACGATGAATGACCGAGGCAGCATCTGAAATCCAATTCCTCTTCCCACACGTTTCACTGCCTGGCCCCTGGCTGCAGAACCCCAGGTCCCAGCAACCCCCCCGCCCTGCTCCCCACCTCATCCGTGGGGGAAGGTGGAGGAGGGACTCCTACCCTCGCCTTGCCCTGCAGCTGTTGACAGCAGCTTACACCGTAAGCTCAACATGAATCAAAAAACATTTTTAATCCGCTCTGTCTCAAAGCGTTTGTGTGCTTTTTAAATCATTGATTGGCTTATAGGAAGCAGAGGACAAAGTTAAACTCATTCTGAAAGCAGAAATGTGTGGCTTCCCTTATGATAGCGGCAGAACTAGCCTGTTGGGGACCAGCTAGGACGGTAAGGAACAGGCATCAGGCTCTGTTGGCCGCGATGGTGTTGTTCTGATTGGAGAAGGCACAGCCTAACCTGGCTGGGAGTGGCCTGTGGCCTGGGCGCTCACCCGGACATGCGGTCCCTCCTCCCCATCCGGGCGCTGCTTGTGGTCATGGAAAGATTGACAACCTTGTTGCAGACACCAGAGCCGCCAGCCCTTTGAAGATCCCCCGCCTTTGCACACCCACAGGCCTTTGCAAATCTCTAGCCCCCATTACTGTAAACCACCCATTTGGCATAACCCATTTGCCTACTTCCCCACGTCATCCTGTCCTTCTCCCCAATATAAGCAGCTGGCTGATAGTGGGGGGCAGAGCAGATGTTTGTGGGTGCCCTGCCGCTCTCCCACGCTGCCGGCAGGACTGGAGTAGACGCTCATCTAGGACTCAACCCTGTCTCTGCTGAATTGGCGCAAGTCGTGACAGGTAACACGGGCCCATGGACTGTCTGGTCACACAGCCATTACTGATCTGTAAGCACAAATTATTTTGTTTTCTTAGTGTTTATTTCCCGCTTTTTTTTTTTGTGGCTGGCCTTGACATCACAGAATTGCTAGCAGCACAACCATCAGATCAATTCCATTTCCAGGAACCGCCCTGCGGTTGCTTTTCTTGCGTCGTTAGCCCAGCACGAGGTCCCCCTGCGGGCCCCAGGGGGGCGGTAGGCAGTCTGCGCGGGAGGCTGCCCCTGCCGCCAGCATCTCGGAAGTAGTTGGCGGCCGACCGTGGTGCGCTGTGCCGCTGTCTGGCCTCACCTTGTCTTGTGCTAGCAAATCCGTAAAAGGTCTAGTCCGTGGTGGTGAGAAGTGTCCCTGGGCCATTTCAGAGTTGTCACTGGCAAGTCCCCTTTCAACACTGAGAACTGTGGGGTGTGGACGCGTTAAGGTAAAAGAACATTCAAACCTGTCAAGAATTTTTGCGAGTGTGTTTGAGCCAAACTGTCGACAATTCCCGGGATGCAGAATCTCAACGTACTGAGATCATGCTCCGGAGAATGGCGGTTTTTCACCTTGTTTGATATATTTCTAGAGGCCCTGTGCATGAAATTCGTGCACTCGGGGAGGGGGGGGTCCCCTCAGCCCGGCCTGCACCCTCCTGCAGCCCAGGAGCCCTCGGGGGATGTCCGACTGCCTCGGAGGCAGGAGAGGCTCCTGCCACCGCTGCTGCACTCACCAGCCGTGAGCCTGGCTTCTGGCTGAGCAGCACTCCCCCTGTAGGAGCGCAATGACCACCAGGGAGATGCTCCTGTGTTGAGCATCTGCCCCCTGGTGGTCAGTGCACGTCATAGCGACTGGTCGTTCTGCCATTTGGTCGATTTGCATATTAGCCTTTTATTATAT